GAAAGACACATACACCTTAAAAAATGCACTCGATGTTTTCAAGGTTAAATCTCACCGGTCTTCCCGAGTTTCCTGTAATTGCCAATGAACTCAGAGCACCCAGTTCTTTTTTATGGCAAGATGGATGGGGGAAGGATTTTCTAGAATATTAGCAGCAGTCTCAGCATCTCTTGTGCTCTCATCCTCCTATTTTGCTTCAATCATTCCCTTAAAGCTTCTGTTCTAGTTTCCAAGGTAATCTTGCAATCAGGTTAAAATGTGCCTATGTTATTCTGAGACTTACCAGAGAGGTACAGAGAAACATAAAAATAAGCTAATCCAATTAAAAACAGACCTAGGGAAACCCAAGACCTTATGGAATTGTACCATAAAATTCAAAATTAAAAAGAGACAAAATGGACCTAACAAAGCTAACACAAGTACTAAAATCCAGTTATATTCTAGTCATTTATCTAGAGACAACAGTGCTTACTTGTATAGATCTGGCCTATGTATGGATCCAAGGATGCCAATCAGTGTAGCATGAAAATGGGTAGTGTAAGAACCAAGTACCCCCTTGTATAAGATATCAGAGACTAGAAGTCCATCAGTAAAACTCAGCAACCTTAACACAAACATCACACTTTCTACTTTATGGAAATCATTTTAAAGCTAGACTGTGTATCTCCTGAACCATTAATATCAAGTGAGCCAGAAATTCAAGTCCCAGTTTTTATATACCCATGACTTTTATACATGAAGATCAATGCATGGTTCATTTATGAACACAAATTATTAGATAATTTTGTCAACACGTTACAAATGTGACAGTAGCCAAATAAATAAAAGAATAATCACATCACCATCAAATTTACATTACATACTTTTTGATTGCCCAGAAATAACTTTTGGCCCCTGGGAACATCCAGGGCCTTACCAGCCACTTTGTATTCTATTTACAACTTCTAACATAGGTGAGGGATCCATACACACATTTTCTACTGGAATATTTAGGTTATTATCAACACACACCACAAATATCTCAGAGATAAGAGGTCAGGATATAAGGCTATACACCAGCAAATCTGAAGCCCTACCAGGATCAAGAGCTACAAAAGCACATCCAAAAAAAGTAAAAACAGAAAGAAGGAAATAAGAACCACGTTTGTAGCTGTTAGTGGATCACTTCAAGCCAGTTAGTCAAATGGTATATACAAGCAGAGAATTAGCAACAAGTTTAGTACAATGAAACGAGTTCTTTTAGATGAACATTACTTAAATAGAGGGGAGAAAAGTACTTGATTTTGTTGATTTAGGACCCATTCAGAGCACACTAAAATAAAGTCATGGCCTGGATTCATGAAGAGAATGTTCCACAACAAATCCCCTTGACCATATTTTGTCCTTCAATTGCAGCCAAAGACAGGCCCTGGAATCTCATTGAGCAAGTCCAAACCATTGCAACACATGTTCCTTTAGACTCCAGAGAGAAGATCATGTTCCCAAGTAGTAGGAATATCCACTAATAATCAAAGTGACTGACAGGTGGTACCATTAGAGCTGTCATCACTAGAATTGGTAAATGCACTGGGCTTCAAAAATTTCTGTTTGACCCCAGTTTTCAGTATTCTCGGCACCTATTTTATAATTAGTAGGCTTGTTCACACACTCTTGAATTTTGTTACTTAATAACCTTGCTGTAATGACCCAACAATGTTTAATTTGTGGGTTACCCTATGAATACCAATATTACCACTAAGGTTAGAGTAGTTGGTTCCTGATCATCAGTATCTTCTATAAATAGCATTTACCAGTGTGCTTGTTCTTTCTCCCACTCTTTGTGTATCAGGTGTCTACATAAAAAGTTTATGAAAAATGCCCATTATGTACACTATGAATGGATTTCCTTTTTTTGCACCAAAACATTTAATGGCATATTTCCACAAACTTTTTGAAGTTTGAAAGCATGTGTATTTCATTTAAAAATGCTTGTGGTTAAATAAGATTGGGACATCCTAAGTTTCATTAAATAAGTTTCCTTGCTCTAGGACTTCTTTGAATATTTAGTATGCCAATGAGTGGTATACTAGGAAAGGCATAAAATTTGCAGCATTTCACAATCTTATTTTTCACTACACACTTTATTTAAGAATTTCTGGGGTTGTGGAGATGGGAACAGCTCTCTTTACAATAAATACACTTAGGGAACTATTGCTTTAAAAGTGATTTCTAATGAAAATACCTGACAGAAGCCATCCAGATGGACTACAATGTACTTTGAATGCCCTCTGACCTCTTTAGGTAGACCTAAGACCAGTATCTGGAACAGTAAAGGAAGAAAACTTCTCAGAACATCTACCTGAGCCATATACAAGACGATTATAAAAGCTCACAGGATTTTGCATGATCCATTCATTCTATCTTTCCATGAGTTTTTTGAAGGCCCCTCATATTATCAGGAGCAATCACAGAATGCCAAAGTATGGCATATCTTCATGAAATTAATTATAAGAACAAAGGAAGTCATAGCTGTTAAGATGATGCTTGGGATGCCTACATCCCATAGAATGACCAGGTTTGAGTCTCAGTTTAGCTCTCAATTCCAGTTTCATGCTTGGGTGTACTCTGGAAGGCAACTAGTGAGTCCTTGAAACTCATAAGGAAAACTTGGATAAAGTTGGGAAGTGTATCTCTCTCTATGTATTTTTCTTTTTACTCTTTCTCAAATAAATTAAATAAAAAATCAGTGTTGTGCAATAGTGGCTAAAACCACCACCTGCCACACTGGTATCCCATGAATGCCATTTCGAATCTCAGCTGCTCCACTTTGGACTCAGCTCTCTTCTACTGCATGTGGGAAAGCAGCACAGGATGCTCAAAGTACCCTGGCCCATGCTACTCATACTGGAGACCTAAATGAAGTTCCTGGATCCTGGCTTCAACCAAGACTGTGGCAATTTGGGGAGTAAATCAGCAGATAGAAGATGAATTATATGAATATACATGCTTGCCTTCATTTATACAGTGCTTTTATATCTAGTACTTATTTTAACCCTTGTGAGATACCTGTAAAAACAGACAGCGAGAGTGTGATCAATGCCAATGTACAGAGGGGTGTGAAGCATAGGATGATTAATTTGTTCAAAGTCATAAAGGATAATTAAAAACCAGTGGCATTTGTTTGGCCAAGCGGCAAAAACACCAGTAAAGAAGCCTCCATTCCAACTCAGAGTCCCTAAGTTTGAGTTTTGACTCTAGCTCTTTATTCCAGTTTTTTGTTAATTCAGACCATTAACGTGGTGATGGCTCAAGTAATCTGCTTCTTGTCACTAACATGGGAGACCTGGATGGAATTCCAACCTCAGCTCTGTTTGTTGTAATATCCAAGCAAAGGGAATTCTCTCTAATAAGTACACTTTTAATAATAATAATTAAAAAAAGAGATTAGAAACCAAATTCTTGGAATCCCAATTTTCACTTCCTACTATGTATTTTTACTGTATTACTGGTGGTATATAGAAGGAATCTTAAAACCAATATAGAGAAAAGTTTTCTTTATAAATTACAGATGTTGAACAGTGTAATAGGCAGTCTTATAAAATGTTTGTGGCAGATATCCCCGCTTTAGGAGGGAGATTAAGTATCATGATTTACAAAGTCACTTTCAACTGTGATACCCACTGACCCTCACATTTTTAGATTTCATTTCCCTAAGATGAGGATGTCACAGTTAAGCCTGTTCCAGGCAACTCCTTCTTATTATGTATTTAGTGTTCAGAAGACAGGCATTTGTATAGATACTTGGGAACTGAAACTCTTTCCAAGATCACAACTAAACCAACTGTTTGATACAAACAAACACAAATCAGATATGAACAATTCCTTTGGGATTTCTTAGGTTTAAAAAAAAAACTAGAAACAGAAGTCAACATTTAACAAAATTGTCAAGTACAAAGTACATGAGTGAGCTTCCCATGAAACTTAAAACCTTACAGTAGAGTACACATTATGGGAGGAAGTACAGTTCTACATCAGAATACTCAAAAGTCATTTTGATGTATAGCATATCTGTGGTTTTTTTTTTTTTTTAGATTCTGTTCAACCACCAAAGGAATTTTAAGAGGTAAACTGTACGGACTGATAATAGTTCACACTTATCCTCTCTGAAGTGTGACTGGGATTCTCTTTAGAGCCAACAGAACCAAACACTGTTCCGATTCCCTTGGGACATGCGTTGTCATATATTTACAGCTATCTATACTCAAGAGAATGGTGCATCTGTCCAATGGAGACGTCTGGTTGCATTCTTTCCCAGATATTAATTTAGGTGGTACTTTAGTAGCATAACCAATGACAGGAAGAACCTGATTTGGAGGGCAGCAGATGGCAACATGTTTCTTAGGCTAATTTTAGAATTCTGAAATGGTCTCTTTCTCATACAAACCATCAGTGAGATTAAATTAAGACAGCTATGTCATGTACAAAAGGGACAAAGAAAAAAACACGGTTTAATATAAGGCAAAGATATTGAACACTGAAACTTCAATACCCTTCCTGCATGTGTCTGCTTTCACAGCTGATGGAGGCTACTTCAACTTCCTGTCCTCATTATAGATGATGTTGAATGACAATATGAATATATGGGTGGGCAAATTTCACTTCCAGGCATAATTATTAAACAATCAAGGTTGCATCACATAACAGTTAAATCCATAATCATAAGAATCCTTGAAAAAAAAGAGAATCCTTGGATCTACATTCTGCCACATTGTTTCTTAGCAAATAAAGAAAACAGAATTTAAGTGATCATTGCAGTCAGTTTAGAAGCAGATTGAATTTCAAATTTTCAGATTCTGGGTCCACTGCCTTACCTGCTGAAAAGACTTTTCCTCCCAATGAGAAACATCATCTCGGGGAAAAATGATCAGATGTGGAGATGTCCCTTGTGCTAGACACAATATAAAAGTCATGCAAGGATTTAAAAAAAAATGGGAAGAGTACTTTGAAATCAGGACACTTACCTGTTTTCCATCCAGAGTGTAGAGTTTTTTGACAACCCCAGTTTCTAGTTTGATGGCTTCAGTGATATCAGTGAGGACTTGCTCAAAAGAGTGGGCAGTCTTCTTGTTCAGAAGCACTCGTACAGCCTTCCGAGGCTTCACCCCACTGCGGATGATGGTCACCAGCTTGGGGCGCACAAAGTCTTTGTTCTCCCTGGCCTGGGCACTGTTGCTGCTTGCCAGGGACTGGGGGGCTTTCATATTGGCAGATGTCTTCACATTGACAGACCAGTTGGGATTGACATTCTTGGTATACTCCACCTTTTTAAAGAAGTTGTCTGAGGAACAGACATAGCTTTCCCCTAAGGGAAGAAATCAGTTTTGAGGTGGTTAGTTTATTGGCACATAGATGGATTAGTACACACTAACATTGGATTAGGATCATTAGTTAATTGGTGATAATCAGCATTAAATACAGTTACTAAGTGAACTCTAGCATTTTTGCCCAAACTCAAGAGTAAGTCATCAGCAAAACTTCCTTCAATAGAGCAGCAGAAATGGTTGAAAAACCTTGTGAAGTTATAATTTCTAAGAACAATGAAAACTCCTGAGTTTAGTCCGATACGTGAAGCTTCTGCACTTGATGTGGTTTCATTGGAATCTCAATGTTTATTAGTTGCTAGGATTTTTTGATTAAGCTCCAGGGACATTACTGGAAAGTTTTTAACATTCCTGTTTCTTAATGATGCTGTCCTGGTTTGGAAACATCCTCCAATTTCATGGTTAATGCATATGCCAAGTGAGTCAGTCAACCTTCCATGTTGGCCATACAATACATACTTGGCAAGAAACTAAATCACCCTTTGCACTTAGCATACAACTAAGCAGTGGGATATTGAAATGTGAAATATGAAATGTCTGTTGAATGGATACGTGTGTATAAAATATTCCCTGTACTGCTCACCCCACATCCAGGTGGGAGCACTGTCTCAATAACAACCTGTACATAAACTCACAGAAGCACACCACACCCATAGAGCATTCCTCATGTTTAAAGGGCTCATCCAGCTCTTGCTTGAAAGACACTTGCCCACATTTCTGCCATTCACCCTTCATCGTTTAGTCCTCTCCAATGCTGCATGCTAGACCCATGTGCTTTACTAGTGCTCAGCTTTGCCTGCTACAGGTAATAATATGGGAATGTGAGAATGCAATGTACAGCTTGATTTATGGATTTGCAGGTTCCACTGTTATTTTCACATTGACAGGCTAACAGTAGAAGTTATGTAGGGACTTGAGGCAAGAGGAGTGGATTAGACATCTGGAACTGGGAGCTGAAGAAAATAGGAAGAGAGGTAGGCACAGCCTGGGGGAGAGAATATTGGAAAAGGTTGAGTTTGTTGAGTAAAATATATTAGCCTCAAGATACATAGAAGTTCATCCAGAGGTTGAGCAGCAGACACCGGGTGATTTCATTAGTTTTAAGCCATCAGTAATAATGCTAAATAAATAAATAAACCCTTGCCAGTGCAAAGGAAGCATTTAACACAATTACAGGCTGATGGCTCTCCTCCTTCCTTTAGTCTCAGCAGGAGAACTGCGCTGAGAGATCCAGAAACACCAGGCTGTTGATTTTCTCCCTTGGCAAACACTGATTACTTTGCTGCATGTAGCACCACATCCTTAAAGTCACATTAATAAACAAATTTCTCAGTCCTAGGAGAAATTTCAGAATCTCTAGGGCCCCTTTGAGGACATTTGTATGTGTGGGAGGGGGAGGATAAAGGGATATCCAACATGTGCAAAGAGGCATCTGAAGCTATCTTTGGTTACAAGCACTCTTCTGTTTTTCCATGGGAAGGGTTGGAGGATTCAAGGGATTATTTACGGGCAAACACATACACACACACACGTACATGCACACACACACCCCTACAGCCTCTGCCACTAAGCAGTCTAACCTGTGACTTAAAAGGATGAAGAAATCCTTTTGGGTTTTTCCATATATTCTCAACCAATACTCTCCATACACTCTACATGGCCTCTTGCCTTTGCACTTTCCCAGATTCATGGGCACCTCTGCAAAGTTCACTGCTCGAGTCAGATGTTTTCCATAGCTTGTCATGTGCTTTAAAATTCTGTTAGACAACTGGTGGTGTGGCAATGCATGAGGCTGTATATTTATGATTTCACTCATCCACAGTCTCCTCTGGGGAGTCAGCTGTGTAGCCCTATTAGAACTCGGGCCTTTTTTTTTTTAACTCCCAACTCTTAAAGCTCTTAAGCCTCTGAACTCAGCATGATTAAACACCCCCAGATGAAAATGAACATGATGGAAGACAGCTATAGTATCATATGGCATTCAAGAGCTTTCCAGAGGGCCCAGCCCTCTGCCAAATCTAGTCGAGCACCTTCTGCCAGTACATTTTATTCACTCCACTCTCCTCTGGGCCTGACTATGGAGTAATGGAAAAACAGCAGCTGATGTAATGTCAGTCGGAATGGAGTTCCAAGTAGTGGTGTGCTCTTGAGCAAGTTATCTAAGATTTTTTTTACCACAACTTCTTATTTGTAAACGAGGGGAGGACACCGATATCTAACTTGTAAGGTATGGTGAGAACACAAAGCAGATGCTAAACCAAGTATTGACCCCAAAGCCTACAACATAGTAAGCATCTGTTCAATTCCAGCTAGTATTATTCTGAAGCCCGCAATCTGCAGGACTAGAGAAAAAGAATAAGAAAGAAGAAAGAAAGAAAAGAGGAAGAAAAGGCTGAGAAAAAAAAAAAGAAATTAAAAGAGAAGCTGGGGTCAGTGGCATTGTAGCATATTAGGCTATGCCTCCACCCATGGTGCTGACGTCAGGTGCTGGTTCATATTCCAGCTGCTCCACTTTCAATCCAGTTCCATGCTTATGGCCTGGGAAACAGTACAGGATACTTCAAGTCTTTGGGCCCCTGGACCTACATGAGAGACCCAGAGGAGGCTTCTGGTTCTTAGCTTTGTACTCGCACAGCTTTGGCCATTGTGGGCAATTGGAGACTGAACCAGCAGTCAGAAGATCTTTATGTCTGCCTCTCCTCTCTGTAATTGTGCCATTCAAACAAAGATAAAAATAAATAAAAAGAGAAAGAAAGGAAGGAAGGAAGGAAGGAAGGAAGGAAGGAAGGAAGGAAGGAAGGAAGAAAGAAAGAAAGAAAGAAAGAAAGAAAGAAAGGGGATGGGGTTTGTGCAGTAGTGTAGCAATCTATTCTTCTGTCCACGGTAACAGCATCCAATATGAGCACTGTTTTGTGTCCTGGCAGCTCCACTTCTGATCCATTTCCCTGTTCATGTCCTGGGAAAGCAGGAGGGTGGCTTAAGTCCTTGGGTCCCTGCATTTACGTAGGAGTCCTGAAAAATGCTCCTGGCTCTTAGATCAGATCTGCTCAGCTTTGGTCATCATAGCCATTTGGGAGTGAACCAGTGGATAGAAAATTTCTGAGTGTCTCTTCCTCTGTAAAACCTGCTTTTCAAGTAAAAATAAATAAATATCCTTTAAAAAGGATGAAAAGCTGAAGAAAGAAAAAACAGCAAGGTCAGCTGTCTAGGAATTGAATTGTGATGGTGGCATATCGTGGGAGTTAGAGTCTCATTCCTCATTGGGAACATGTTCTGTTGTTTGGGGGTAGGCTTCCAATTTCCTGCAAATGCCAAGTGTGGGAGCTCTGTGACTGACACCCAGCAAAGCTACTGCTGCCACTGTTTATGCCCCACTGAGAGCAGCAAATGTATAGCCGTTAAGAGCAGGGACTTGCAAGTCAGACACACCTGGAACCAAATCCTACACCAGGAACTTACATGCAATCATGGCCAAATCGCTTAATCTCTCCTAGTCTCAGATTTTCCATCTATAAACTGAAAGTATTGTGCTAAGTGAGAGCAGTGTCTCTTCAGGTCCTAAAAGTAAGAATGAATTTTCCTCTCTTTTTCATATATAATAGGCTTTAGGAAGTAAAGTTGTTACAGCAATTAAATGTTAAATAAGTGAGTGCCTACCGCCACAAACTGTTTCTGCTGCTGAAAAGACGTGAAATGTGCTCCTTTGCAGGACTTACGCTTCCTTGTCCTGATCTGGAAAACATTAGGGATGTCAGCTGCCACAGGTTGACGCTTCCTGCATGTTCAGCTGCCTGGCATTTGGTACTGGGTGAGGTGTGCTGCACCTTTACACAGCTGAGTTCCCATCGTGCACCGGCTTCCAGCGGGCATTTCCACCCACAGGGAGCTGGAAGGAAAGCTGCTTTGAAAGGCAAGCAAGGTGACAATTTGTTGGTATTGACAACCTGCTTGAGGCTCAAGGAGTCAGGAAATTAAGTCATGGAAGCACAGCTGAAAGGGCGGGAATGGAACGAGCTGTGGGCTTAAAGTGATCTCATGTCTGCATCCCATCCCTTTGGAGAGGGTACTATTTTCAAAGAGAGCAAACATATTTATACATTCTCAGCACAAACGCCCTGTGCCTGGACTGCTGCTGTTTCTCCAGGGCTTCTTAACTCAAGGAGAGAAATATTCAATGAGGCCTTATTGTTTTATCCTATCTATTAGCAATACTTCCCTCTACGGAATTTTTAAATCCTTTAACAATGTGCTTGTTTTCACAAAGGATAAATCAGTGAGAGGCTAGTTTCATTTCATTGGAGAAAATGAGCTATGGTAAAGAAACTGGGTCATAGCTAGTGTCACTATACAGTTCACATTTTCCGAGATGGTCCCAATTGTAAATATTTTGATCCCTGGTCTGCATAATAATGCTGCGATTTGCCTCAGTTTCAGCTTCATAAAATCTGGCTGGTCACAAAAAAAAATCTATCACTAAAATTGATCTGAGTACACACATATATGAAAGTGAGGAAAGTATTGGATAGGTTATAAAGGGAATGTGGAAGATTCTATAACAAAAACTGAAGGAAAGACAGGATGAAAGTGCTTTCCATTCACCTAGTCACTGAAGCTATAAATAATGAGAGTCATATCTCATGTGGTTTTGCTAGGACCTTTGGTCAACCAAAGGAGCCTTGGAAAGGTGATATCAACATCAATAATAAAGCTTTGAGCCAAATGCTCCTTAATACTTTCATTACCTAGCAGCAGACTGAAGGCACTAGATAAAGGCCACAAGACCAGAAGGATTGTTAAGTGACTGCTTCTTGTTTCATTTCATTTCAAGCAAAATGTTTAATGAGGTGGCTGTTTGGAAATCGACTCTTCTATGATACATTATCCCTCTTAGACCTACAAAGCAAAAAACAAAGATTTCTACATTCCTGGTTAACTCCTGCTCCCACAGTTAGCGGGAGGGGGAATGTCAGACCACCTGATATAGTATGTTCAAATCATAGAGTTCATAAAAAAAAAAAAACATGGAGATTTGTTTACAGTACAAACTCCAGAACACAAATCTTAAGGATTCTGAGTCAATAAATCTGAGTATGGATCAGGAATCTGTGTTTTTCAAAGTTCCGAAAGATTTTGGAAGTGAGCTATATTTGTGAACCACAGGATGTTAAAAATCTTTCCCTGTTATCATTGCTGTCATTATTATTATTTTTACAACATTAATAATAATAATGTTCTGTGACTATAGTTTGACCTATAGTTTGTCCAGTATCTAATTTTATCTTCATAGCCACCCTAATTGATAGAGAAGGCATATGTCACCAGTCTCATTTTGCAGTTAAATATATGATTCATGAGACATACACAGTGTAGTCTATACATATAATGGAATATTACTCATAAGTAAAAAACTTTTAGGAATAAAGTGTCAATACATGACTCAAAGTGGGTAAGCCTTGAAGATATTATTCTACATGAAAGAAATATAAAAGATTCTATAGTGTATCATTTAATTTATAAGGAATATCTGGAACAAACAAACCTACAGACACAATATAGAGTCATAGAGGCCTAGGCCTGGAAAGAGTTAAGAACATGAAGCATATGAGCAAGACTTCTTCTTGAAAAAAATGATCTATAGTAAGATTATGATCCAGGTTGTACCACTTGGATATTTTGGTAAAAAGATTAACTCAGACACTTAAATGAGTGAATTTAAGAAATACAAATTGTGTCTAGCAAAGTTGGCTTTAAAAATACAATTGTGTTTTAAAAAGAGATAACATCAGTCACATGGATAAGGAAAAACCTATGATCATGTGGCTACCATGTACAAACTAGAACAACTCAAGCAGTAATAGTTATCCTTTGTTGGCTGCTATTGTGTGCCAGACAGAATAATTAACGCTTCACATTGATTTATCTTATTGAATTCTCAAAGTGATCATTCCCACTTTAGAAATGAAAAAAAAAAAAAAACTGAGGCTCCAGGAATCTAAATAGATTCTCCAAAACCACACGGACTAGCAGCTGGCCTATCTTGGACGTGAACCAAATCAGATCCCAAAGGCTTTTTTATTTCCATTGTAATCTTCTGCCTCTAAGACTGGAACTCAGTGCCCTTTAGTCTTCATTCAGGTATCTTTCCTAGATTTCTCACTCTAAAACCTAACAGGAAACAAATGCATATGAATTTTTTAAAAAAATCTTTCCTTCAACATCATCCAGAGGTGAACAGAGTAAAGGGACTTCTGGCCTTTATCTCCAGGTGAGGAGTTCTGGATTACAGAATATGAGAGGAAAGGGCTCATTTTCTTCATCCTCCATATCCCAGTATCTTTTATTTTTATCTGACTCTGTGATGCTGGGGAAGTTTGCTGCATTTCTCAGCACTATCCAAGATGCCCCTGAATTTCCTTGACTGAATGGGCAGGACTCAGGACTGGAAGGCACTGAGGTCTACTATTGAGTTGCTGCTGTAGTGACATGAGTGAGACTGATCCTATTTACAATTTGCATAGTCCAGGAATTCATCAGCAAGTACCACAGCACCCAAGTGTGGTATATATGGCAGATGAGAAGAGTCTAATCTTTTTTTAAAAAGAGTCTAATCTTACAAGAATCAATATGACTCAAAGGGAAAGAAAATTGCAGTCTTTTTCAGAATTACATTTATTATCCATCCATATTAGACTGAGATTATAACCATCCTTCTCCCAACACACACACACACACACACACACACACATACATACACCCCAAGAGGTAACAACGAATATGTAAAAAGTAGATAAGGGGCAAAATTTGTACATAGCACCTCCCTTAAATACAATAGCATTATAATCACTTGTGCCAAATTGAATGTCAGTTGTCTCAGAATTTTTGCACTATCATCCATTATGGTCCTTAGAAAGTTATGGCTAGAGGTAATGAGGACATACTGGATGATTGAGGGTGCTTTGTTTGTGAAAGTTATTACAGGGGAAGCCATCAGATCCAATTGGGATGTGTATTTTATAGCAGTAAAAGACACTCAAGTTACTAATTAGTCTGTTGGACAGCTCCCTTGGCCTAGGTTCAAACCCTTCCAGCTTGCCCTGATGCTCCTTTGAGATGTACACTAGGATGGCCAATTCTTTCACAGTCAGAAAAGGTCTATGATTAACTTCTTCTTGTTCCAGCACTTCATCAAATGACCTCAGTTTCCTTTTTCAATGTCAGTTATATGCAAAAACAAACAAGCAGAAACATCTGGACTGAAACCCTGACACTCACATGCAGCAGCTGTAGTGACACAGGGTCTTATAAGCAAATTGCCCCCATTCAGGTAGCCTGACTACTTGAGAAACAGTAGTTACTTGAAAAACCCTGGGGTCTGCACAAGGGAAATGCACACGCTCCTTTGTCTAGGAGCACAAGAATCCTAGAATCTGCGAAGCATAGGAGGAGTACTCCCCCAGCAAGTCACGTAATGTGCTGATTCTTCCTTGTTGCTCTTTCCTCACTTTGGTTTCACTAGAGATCTGCTTTCTCTAAATTCACCTTTTCTCAAGGAATGGAGAGTGGACAATAAGGAAGGGGTTGGAGGAGAAAGATTTTTACAATAGCATCACTCTTTGAGGCTGTCCTTTAACACAGTATATCAGGTTAAATTGATCACATGAGTTAAGACCACCAATGTAAAAAGCAGAACTATGGAAGCATCCTTAATAAAATCAATTTGATAATATATAATGTTAGGTATGTGATTAAAGATCTATTCTCTAAATGATCACAAAGAAGGCATCATGGCTGAACAAGTTTTGGTCAAGGCTCAGATTTTCCTAATTTATGGGTAGATTTTCAAAAATATGGTCAGCAAATTTAGTCACAATACCAAAATCCAGAGACTATTTCAAGGGATTTAGGTACTGTGAGTCAGTCCCTATTCTGACAGGAATAGTCTTGAATAAAATTCCAAGCATATCACCAGCTTCCTTTGGCATTTCTCCCAATGACCTCAGCCCTAGGGACACACCCTGAAGTAGGCTTTTTGGAAGCAACAGCTGAGCAGTGACCACTTACCTAAAAGCATAATCCTCTGTGAATATGTCCAGGAAGTCCTGCTTTTAGGATGCAGATTTCCAATGAGTTGCAATTCCCAAATAATTTCTTAGCAGTTCAAATGAAATTTTAGTATAATGCATTCTCTGTTAGCCCAAACAAATGTCTTCCTCATTATGCCCCTGATTGTTTTATGATCTGCCTCAACAGTGCTACTCAGAATTAATTACAAGCCATGTGCAGCGTAAGTGCCACAACTCCCATTTTCCTTTGTACACCCTGGTAGCGAAGCACAAAGCTTTACCCGCCACCATCCACACTTCAACCTCAGCAGCTCAGCAGAGACCAAAGGCTTTGAGGGCTGTGTCTAAGGGCTTTACAGATGGCTACAGAATCAAAAGTCTGAGTGACAGCCAGATACACTGACAAATACATTTCCTAATTTCTTTCCATGAAACCTAAGAATGTAACCATAGCCAGTGGTGCCACCTCCCCCTAAAGCCACCACCCCACTACTTGAATTACCTTCCTCCAATTCGTCCATGCTTCCAATCTTCCTGGAGCCATCAATGGTGTAAATGTAACGTACACCCTGAGGCAGGTTGATGTTGTCAGATAGAGATCGAGTCAGATCAGCCAGCAAGGCGTCGAAGCTGCGGAAACGGTCAGAGGACACAGCGTACACAATCCCTTTGAAGTAGCGGTCCCCATTGCGGTAGAAACGTACCTTCTTGGCTTTTTTCTCATTGCTCAGTGCCTGCAAGGTTCTGGTTCTGTAGAAGCTACAGTGGGCGCTATGAGTGGGGCTAGGCAGCCCATTCATCCTTGAGCCTCGCATGTTCCTGGACGCCTTATCTCTTTCATCAAAGTGTCCAAAATCAAGTTCCATATTTCAGTGGAACCTCAGCAACCTGAGTGTTGGAGAAAGGGGAGGGGGTACAGAGAGAGGCAAAGAAAAAGGGCAAGGAGTCAAAAAGAGAAAGGAATTCAAATATTAGCTAGATCGAGATCTGCAATCTGCTGCCTGTGAAAAGAACTGCTTGGAAAAAGCCCATGACCCATCTGCTGCTTGCCCCGACCTGCAGGAATATTGATCTTAATAGAGAAGAAGGAGGGGCGGGGCAGGGGTGCTGGTGGTTGTGGGGGTTGGGAGGAAGAGATAGAGAGGGAGGCACTTTGGGCACTGTTCCAAACACAGGCACAGGAGGGATTTTGAAATAGAGTAAAATCCTGGGACCACTGACAGTGGCTCCTATCAAATTCTTACTTCGGGCTAAATGTATTAAAAGTGGCATCTGCTTCCTCACACATGCCCTCATGAGTAACAGTTGTAAATGAATCCATAGCCTGACAAAATTTCCCTTCTGAGAACAGAAGGAGCTAGCCAAGGTTAGCATCTCCAGCTTGGGAAGCAGGCTTTGCAGCTCAGCACAATGCCTATGAAGGCGAGTCTTTTAATTTTATTCCAAACCCTCTTTTTAACTCTAATGTGCGCATCCCCTCTCTCCCCCCTCCTCAACAAACTGGGATTCTCTTTTAAAGGGACAGCCTCTAGGGACCAGCCAGTGTCTTTGTGCTATTCATCAAACCCCTTCCCCAGCAAGCTGGTGTGGCTCTCTGACATGCACAAGAAATAAGATGAGAAAATGGTATAGATAAAGCGGTCTTTTAACAACTTATTAGCTCTGCCTTCCCCAATACTACTTAATTAAAAAATTCTGCCTTTCCCCCCCCCCCAGGTGCTTCATCTCCCTTAGGATGCAGCAATACCTCTTACTAAAATAATAATCTGATTGTTTCAAGACTCCCAAATGTGTCCCTGGAACAGCATATGGGACCCTTAGAAGCCAGCACACCTTTCATTGTTCTGGGTTTCCACCCTGAATGAAGGGGCATTTTGGCATCACAGCAGGCAATTCACCCAAAACTTGTCTATTGCTCAGGTGCCTTAGCTACAGAACAAACAAACAAACAAAAACAAACAGGATGGACATCTGTCAGGTTTTGCTTTTCCCCTTCTACAGAACCCCCCAAAACCTCAAAAGACAAAAAAAAAAGCAATGAAAACACACAAGCAAATACAACTGAAGCTCCAAACGCTTGCAAAGGTAGTGTCCTCCTAGGAATCAAACTATTAGCATGCATCTCACAGATGGGCATAAAAGGACTCACAAAGCAAGCAGGGCTCAGCTGCTACACACTGCCACATGGAGGTATTTGCAAGGGACCAGGAGGACAAGAGATAAAGGGAGGCTGGTGCCTGTGGGATTGCCAGGCTCGACATCCCCCCCCCCCCGCCTTTTTTTTTTCCAATGTCACCATGACCTATGCTGAGCTCAGCATTGTCTCTGTCAGGCAACCTGCAGTGGTAAAACCCCACCTCCTGAACCCAAGTAGCAAGCATTTCCCTGCCTGCCAGTAACGCTTTGCCATCAGAGGAGAAATTATTCTAAATTAACATCACAGTGAAAACAAAGGAACATGAAACTCACTTTCCAAAGGAAAATTCCAGGTAGAGCCTTAAGGAAAAAAAATCCAACAGAATAAAGCAAAAAGGAAAAGAGAAGAGAGAGAAAGCCAGCGCACGTTGCCTTGTGCTCTGGTGCTGTTCCCGTTTGACATCTGTTACATTCTGCTTGAAAATCACTGGGAAGCCCTACTCACCGGTTTTCTGCTGGTTGGGTGGAGATGCTGAGAGAAAGAAAACCAATCTCTCTCTATGCCTTTGTTGTCTGAGCTCCAAGCAAGAAATTCCTGCCAGGGTGGATAGATGCCTTCTAGGTCCTAGTGCCTTGTCCAGCTTCTCCCCTGTAACTCAGGCTTAGTGCTTAGTGAATCCCCCCAACCTCCTATGATTAATTGCATTCTTTTTTTCTCAATTCACAGGCTGCATTAACAGCTAGGTTCCATTTATAACCAACAGGAAATTGCAGGGTAGCAAAAAGATTGCACAGGCAAGTTCAGTATGCTCTAATGAGCAATGTGCTAGTCTTTTTTTTTTTTTTTTTTTAAGAAAATCGGCAATTTCACTTAGCCAAAACCTTGGCCTAATCTGCCTAGGGCCTATGCTCAAACAGATCAGGATTCTCATAAAGTGTAGCTGTCCTTTTTCACCCTCTTGAGAGAAAATAATCAAATCTGCGAATGTTGAGGCATTAATGATTAATTATTAATTCATGCATTCTGCAACTGGTAGTTTTTAAAATTAGGTCAGTGGAGCAGACTAAGAGAGAGTAGGAAATGGACAATAGATGAGAAACTATTTCCAGAATTTCCTGGAAGATAGAGTTAAAAAGAATCCTAAAGTCTTTAGGCTACTGTAACAATTTGGTTAATGAAATGTCTGTTTTTTACCTTTTAAGTGTTAGAGAGTTCAGGGTCAGACACTACCTGCATTGCCTGCCTCCCATATGGACGATGGTTTATGTTAAGCTGCTCCACTTCCAATCCAGCTCACTGCTAATGGACCTAGGAAAACAGCAGAAGATGGCCCAAGTGCTTGATCGCCTGTACCCATGTGGGAGACCCAGATGAAACTCTGTGTGTGTGTGTGTGTGTGTGTGTGTGTGTGTGTGTGTCTCCTTTCTCTGCCTCTGCATCTCCCTCTCTATAACTTTGTTTTTCAAATAAATAAATACATAATGTTTTAAAGAGTTTGAGCGCTCAAACCTAACCTAAAGATGTTTCTGTGTGAAGTGAATCCGATGGCTACAGGTTAACAGTTCTCTCTTCAAATTGCCTATTTGTCACAAATTGGACTCTTTACATCATGTATGTTTTTTTTTAAAAAAGACAAGGAAGCATCCAAGTTGAACTCATTAGGTCAGGAGAAACTATGAAACAAGGGAAAAATGATGAGCAGCTAAATGAGAGTTGGGCTACCATCTTGACAACTGAAGCCAGTTTACATTAAAGCGGAATAGGCGCAATAGTCTTGAGCTACCACAGTTCAATTTTTGCTTGACTTTTATGATGCTCAAAGATAATAACACACTTAGCAGTTATATTTGATTGTCAGTGAATTAATGCTTTTATATTGAGCTGGTAAATGTTCACATTTAAGCATTTTCTGTGCATCTGTTTTGCCATAAGCTGCCTCCCAGTGTGATTCTAAAAATATGAGCACCCTTTGTCTCTGGAAGGTATTTGCTCAGCAAAGCTTAAGCTAGCTGTGCTAGATGGGTGGACAACTTCAAGTGTGCAACCTGCGTGCTTAAGTTCTCCCAATAGCTTGTTACTGATGTTTGTGTACATATGGTTCTGTTCCATGTATTGTTGCCTTACATTGCAGCCACCACTTGAAAAACCGGGATTATTCAGGTTAGAAATATAGAAATTTCAATAAGAGCAGGAAACTAAGGAAATTTATATCAGGGTATTGTCTTGAAAGTGCTTTCTTGCACATCATAAACATTCAGTAGATATGCAGCAATAAGTTTTGCATTAGAATCCAAAATCGTTTAATTTCTAAAAATATTTGTGAATATGAATAAAATATATATGTATATGGTTCATTGGCACAACTCAAAAAGATATCCATAGTGAAGATAGAAGAATGGATAGAGTAATAGAGCTCACACATGAAAGATTTGAAATAAATTTTGAGAAAAAAATGCTTCAGGATTCAAGTTTTGTAGAACTACTGCAGAAGTTACAAAATTACCATCCAAGAGCAATGACTTTGTTTGTCTTAAATATACTACAAAGCAGAGTGATGAACAAGACAAATGTTTCTCAGTGTGATACACGTGGATATAAATAGATACTATTTTAAATGGGGGGAAATGGCTTTACAGCCAAAACTGGTTGAAAATTTATGGGTTAGACCATGCTAGTTTTCTTTATCATAAACTCCTCAGGGTCTTTAATATGTATATGTGTGGCCACAGGTCTTGAAGAAGAAAATTTGGAATAGAGGGCTTTTGATTTCTGTTTAAGCTCAAAATCATTTCCTCCAGAGCATCTCAAAGACCAGTGTTCTATGATGGGGGAAATAACATTTGAAAACATTGGAATAGATCATTTCATAAATATATTTCTTCTCGAAAAATCAGGTACTTACCAAGAACCCCTTTCTCACTTCGTCAGAGCCGAGTTCACTGGCAGAAGAGAAGTTCTGAGGCACAAATCCCAGGAGACGGTGCACCTGGAAATATGGAAGGTCACTTGAAATATGAAGGGAGAGTCATGACTTGAGGGTCAAAGAAGTAAAGAGCTTGAAAGCAAAGCATACCAAGCCTGCTCTAGGAAATGTAGCAACAAGACGTTTTGAGTAATTATCATGTGCCCCAATATCACGGGCAAGGTGCAGAGTAAGAAGCTGTCACCATAGCTCATGAACGACCTGGACACTCACTGAATCATGGGGTATATAAAATCATAAAGAATAAAGGCTTAGATATCCCTTAATATGAGTCTAGGTTAAAAAAATTCAGTTTAAAGACCAAGGTTGGGGAACAAAGACAAACACACACACACACACACACACACACACACACACACACACACACACACACACACACAGGTTTGTGTTACCTGCCAGAGGCACTGAGAGTAGTTTAGCAGAATAAACAAGCAATAAGTAAGGTTATGGGCCCAGCACGATAGCCTAGTGGCTAAAGTCTTCACTTTGTGCCATTGCACACCTGGGATCCTATATGGGTGCCAGTTTGTATCCCAGCTGCTCCACTTCCCTTCCAGCTCCCTGCTTGTGGCCTGAGAAAGCAGTAGAGAATGGCCCAAAGCCTTGGGATCCTGCACCCACATGGGAGACCTAGAAGAATCTCTTGACTCCTGGGTTCAGATCAACTCAGCTCTGGCCATTGTGGACACTTGGGGAGTGAACCAGTGGATGAAAGATCTTCCTCTCTGTCTCTCCTCTCTCTCTCTAACTCTGACTTTTCAATAAAAACAAATAAATCCTTTTTAAAAAGAAGTAAAGTTATATCCATATAAATACTGCCTATGGGAGCCACAACCTTATATGAAATTGAGGAATAAATATGCGTAGGACATTTGTTGAGAAAGTTACAAACTATTGAAGAATGTAAAAGAAGCTGTGAATAATCATAAAGTCAACCATAATCAGGGATGGCAAAATGAATTAATGTAAGGTCCTCAGCATCCCCACCCGCAATAATATATACGTCATGCTAATAAAACATCCTATAGAAATTTGTGTGAAACCCAAAAGAAACAGTGTAAACTTTGTATAGAATAACATAAAGCTCAAAAAATAGCCATGACCATTGATTGCTAAAGAAGAAGAAAAAGAAGCAGCAGGAGGAGAACAGCAACAACAACAAGAAATGGCATTTCAAGATCTATTATAAAGCTATGGCAATAAAGATCATTTGATGTTGTTCTGGAAGACTGACAAAGACCCATGAAGCATATTAAATGTCAGTCACAATGGGACTTAGCTACAACAGCATGATAGCACAAGGACTCTGGAACCAGACTGCCAGGTTCATTTTAGCTCTACAAATTACTAGCTAGTGTTATTACTAGGGTTACTTAACTTCTCCGTGCCATGCCAATGTGAAGATGGTAGTAACTATATCTATCTCAGTTATTATGATTCAATTAGCAAACATGTGTAACCCTCAGAACAGATTAGGGCACAAAAGATGTATAAATATTAACCTTTATTGCACCCCAATCATGTGCTAACACTAGTACTTTATTCAATTCTTCACCAAAGGGCCAACTTCTCAACAAGACTACCCAGGCCACCTTATTTAAAATGATGACCTTCCATTCTGGGAGACTGGTATAGTAGTTAAGACATAGCTTGGGGCTTGGCATGGTGGCACAGCAAGTTAATCTGCCTTCAAGTGCTGGCATTCCATTTGGGCACTGGTTCTTTCCCAGATTCTTCACTTCTGATCCAGCTCCCTGTTAGTGGCCTGGGACCACAGTGGTAGATTACTCAAGTCTTTGAGCCCCTGTACCTGTGTGAGAGACCCATAGGCAGCTCCTGGCTCCTGGCTTTGGATTGGCTTGGCCATTTGGGGAGTGAACTAGTAAATGGAAGACCCTCTCCCCTCTTTCTCTGCTATTCTTTTAAAATCTGCATCTCAAATAAACAAATAAATAAGAGACATTGCTTAGGGTGTCCAGTTCCAATATCCAAATGGTTAGGTTGAGTTCCAGCTGTACTTCTGATTCCAGCTTCTTGCTAATGTGCATCCTGGGAGATAGAAGATGGCTCATGTACTTATATCCCTGCCACCTATATGGGAGACCCAGATGGAGTTCTGGGCTCCTGGCTTTATCTTGGCCCAGTCCCAGCTGTTCTGGATATTTGGGTAGTGAAACAGCAGATAAAAGATTTTCTCTCTCTCTGTGCCTTTCAAATAATGAATGTCATTAAGTCAATAAATACATTTAAAATTACAAATTTCCCTGAGCCAGTGCTGTGGTGCAGTTGGCTAAGCCTCCACCTGTGGCACCAGCATCCCACATGGGCACAGTTTTGTGTCTCGGCTGCTTCACTTCTGATCTAGCTCCCTGCTTATGGCTTGAGAAAATAAAGGAGAATGACTCAAATCCTTGGGCCTTTGAGTTCATGTGGGAGACCTGGAAGGACATCCTGGTTCTTGACTCCTGGCTTCAGATCAGCTAAGCTCTAGCCCTTGAGGCGATATTGGAAATGAACCAGTGCATGGAAGACTTATCTCTGTGTCTCACCTCTTTCTGTAAAATGTGCCTGTCAAATGAAAATAAAATTTTTAAATTTTTTTTTTTTATAGAAAACGCAGGTTTACAGAAAGATCCTCCATGCTCTGGCTCACTCCCCAAAGGTCTGCAATAGC